ATATTGACTTTTTTTGTGCTGTTTACATAATATAGAAAGTCAGTAATAAGTATCTAACCACACTTGTAAAAGAAACACAACTATTAAAAAACTTAACCAATGGTTGTTAATCTAAGTAAAACTAAACATTGATTGTCAAATAGGATTTAAAAGGTAAAAATATAAGCAGCTATTTTTTTGCAACATTACAGTAGCATTAAATTATGTAATAAATCTAATATTTTCATGATTACCAAATAAACTTTAGAAAAATAATTTGTAGTAAGTAAATTATTTTGAAAATGGCTTAAAACATAAAAAGATTTTCACAGAAAGATTTTTAACAAATCCTCCAAACAGGTTTCCATAACATGTTCCCATTGAGGTACAAAGGATTAAGAAATACAGACTATAAATCATTCATGGGACTAAAAGCACTTCTGTCCATCCCATTTGGCGTGATTTTCAACTATTTCACAGGCAAACTTTGTAATAAAGGCACAAGCTGCCGTTCTCGGCTTCAGTGGATTCACAGAAGCACAGCTGCCATGGGCCATAGGACCCAGAACATGCACAAACCCAAGGAGGGGGCCAGGTCATCCACAAAGCAGCAAAAGCAGATGCTCTTTGGCTTCTTCTACATCCTGCGCATCCAGCCTCTGAATGCCAGCCAACCTCAGGCAGAGTAAGATACTTAAAGTAATGAACCTCAAAGCTGAGTAAATGATGCCATTACGGGCCCTTCTCCACAGTAGCACTCTCCTGACATCTACTGAAATCAGTGATTTCCCTGCATTACCTAAAATTGCTCATTTGCTTGAAAGTTAATTTCTGTCAGTCATTCCAGTTTGCTGGCTCTTCGCGACAGAACACCCACAGAGCAGCCATGGGCTAAATGTGAGATCAGAGCACCTGCTTCCCACGCGATGACACAATGTATGGTCACTTTCACTACTGACAAATAAAACCAGGGGGGAAAGTCTTAATCATGTGTTGATTACCCATCACCAGTGTGGGGACGCAGCATTGGCAGAGTGGGTCCCCCCACAAACACAGTAAGACTACGGATGTTCTTGTGCTGTGACTGACCACCTAAGACAGTGAAAGTTAACAGCCGTATTTTCTAGGAAGTACACAATGTAGCAGTTCAGAGCTGTGGAACAGGGTAGGCCCAGTCAGCTGAAACTAAAAGGGGATTTCAGTGCTGATTATGTACTTCAGGACAGCTTGGGTGGTTTTCTCAATGTCTCTGAGCTTGAGTTTGTGCATTGATTTAAAAAAAAAAAAAAAGTAGAGAACTGTTTCCATAACATGAGATGGGCTGAGGAGGATTAAACAAAATGTTACAAAAAATGTTTTACAGTGAGTGTTGAGCACATGCCACATTCAACAAATGTCATTTACTGGTATTAAACAATGGGATGCATCTTCAGTGAGGAACTTGACTGTTAAACAGAACTATCTAGATTCAGAGCAAACAAGGAAGGGACACAGTTTCAGCTCTTTCTGTCTCTATCAGACTAGAATAAACTCATGGGTAAAAAGCTGTCATTAAAGTACTAGGTATATAAATATGTATAGCTTGAAATTCCAAAGTAATCAATTCTACCGGTATTTTTCTCAGAGCATACTACAGGTAGGTAATGTGTGTTCAGTTAATACCAAAACATATAACTGAATTCACTCTTTCTAGAGCTGAACCTCTGAGAAGGAATTCCCTAATAATTTTTGCCCAGATTTACCTAATTACAAAAGATTCATTTTCATATGGGGAAGTTTAGTAGATGGCAAATAATAAAAAAAGTAAAACCTATTTAAGTACCTTGATGAGGACTAGAAACAAATAGGTAGAAATAACAGGCTATCTTTCTCTTCCTTTTGTGATCAAGTCAATGAGAAGTATGCGTTTGATGATCACGCTGCTAATTCTAAATTCTTGAGTTAAACTCTGAGATGTTCAAAAGTGCCATCTTAGGGAGGTATATTAGTGGAGTGAGCACAAATGCCAGCTATCAATGGTGCCATATAAAGAAATACAATCACTAAAATCCTGCACAGTTAAAGTCAGTTTGTTATCTTATTAAATGAAAGGTAAAAATTATATTTATATGCACACTGACCAACAGGAATTTTAAAACTCATCAGAATAAGTGTGATGTACCCTGCACAAAAGTACAGGACTTTCGTAACTTCTTTTTCTATAAATTTTCTTTTGCAGTTCTCGCTGTCAAAATTAAAATTTGTTTTCTGAAAATAGGTACATACGAATTCTTACAACATAAGCTTCACGCTACACAAAACATGGTACAACATCTGTGCCAAGCTCCCTGCAGTAAGTGCAGGGAGCAGAACTAAGTCAGAATCCAGAAAGGAGACCAACCACGAAGAAACAGAGTGATGGCTGAAGGCTACTCTTGAGTTACTGGGGTAGAGGAAGCAGCAGGGACAGATTATGGGCTAATTCAAGGCACTGGAGGGAGATTAGTGATCAGGTGAAATGCAATGCTAAGAAATGGCAAAGGCGAGCTACACAAGCCTCAACCTGCAGCCCAACACACGGACACGAGATCTTTGTGTTTAAGAACACTGAGAAGCACCCTGAAAAACGGGAGACAGATGGTGAGGCCCCGGTACAGAAACCAACACCATTATGTGATAGCTGGTGAAGGTGAGGTGGGAAAGGTACTGAGAGGATTAATGAAAGATTAAGAACATCAAAGGACACACATGCAACTGGTGGGCAGCTTGGTCCTCACGTGGGTCCCCTAGCAACAAGGGGAGTGGGGGGTTGGGGGTTATCTGACATGGACTCAGGTTGGTGCTTCTGGATCACTTCCCCCTGGCTGGGCTGCCTTGCCTGACCTCAATAGAAGATAATGTACTAGGTCCTGATGGGACTTGATGGGCCAGGGTGGGCTAGTAAGGGGGCAGGGGATCCCTTTTTCTGAGAAAGGGAGGGAGAAAAGGGAAAAGAGTGTGGGAGGGTGAAACTGGGAGAAGAGGAGGAGGGAACTGTGAGCAGAATGTAAAAAAAAAGGAACAAGGATTCCTAACCAATTAAGCAAAAAAGAAAGATCATAAGCAATTTTATACTTAAGCCTAAAGGATTAGCTAGCTAGGAAAAAACATTGCAAAAGGAAACTTATATTTTAATGTAAACCAAATTTAAGATTATCTGGGAATTTTATGGTATCATTAAATCTAATTATTATGTTGAAAACCCCTTCAACTGGAAAGATGAATAAAATTTTCTAGGTCTCTACTATATAAATTCAGGGTAATTTTCCTGCTTCAGCCTTGGTGGTTTCCATTCAGTTTACACTTGGTCTTTAGACAATCCACTTATCATTTCCATGAAGCTAGTTAATAGAAACATTCCATTATAATTTAATGGTAATGGAATAATTTTCCAGAAGTACTCCAGAGAGACGCTGAAAGGCTAAAAATCAACTTAAAAATGTGAGAACTTTTTCTACTTAAAGTTACTGTGATAACTTATCATTAGAGAAATAAATAGCACACATCATCCATTAACATTTCAGTGTATTACATAAGTATTTCAGATTATTTTACCTCTGGGTAGAATTTTTTTTTTCATGAAACCTATTTCAATTTAAATAGTGGTGACAAAGCAAATGGACGAATCCTGCAAGAAAAGTTACTTCTTTCGGGTCTGTGTATATCCAATCACACACTGTTTTGAGTGTAACTTACCCACTCAATTCAAGACTAATTATACTGCTTGCCAGAGATCACCAAGATGATTTTGTCAAACTAAGCCTGAATTAAGACAAAACAAATGTGTGGCTAAATGAGTCTAAGGAAAGAACATGACATCCATCACCAAGAGGAACATTCCAGTTCAATGAAAGCCACAGGCACAGTTAAACTGTCTTATTAGAAAATACTGAATTTTGTTTTGCCAAAAGTAAAGCAGCTGCCGTTAACAATTTTCTATTTATTATTCCTGCTAGTAAATGTTGGTAAACATTAGTCAAGCAAGATATTATGTAATTTTCCAGACCAGAAATCTTACATTTTTCTTAGCTAACGCACAAGGCATATACTTCTATCGTTTCTATAATTATTGTTAAATCAGTGGATTCTTTTTCCTAACCTATAATCCCCCAATCACCAAGAGCCATGGAATTTTTTTTTACTATCATCCCAAAATGGTCCCTCTTTGTTGCTGACTGTCCTTCTCACTGTTGCCCTGAAACATTGTGCCACAAAAAACAAACAAACAAAAACAAAAACCCTGCAGCACAAGAGACACTAATCTACTAACCAAGGCCCTACTTTATTTCATGTAAAGCCGCTGACAACTTTCTATGTCCATTCAAAGTTGAGCTGATTTGGTTCTATTAAGTTTATAAAATATCTCAGTCATGTTTCTGAAGTCAAGTCTAAGGCATTTGCAGCAACATAAAAGAGTATACTAGGGATCCTGCCTATTAGGCAAAGGAATTATTATTCAAAAGCATGAATAATGCATTTTTTATACATTTAGCAAGCTATGGTCAGAAGTTAGATGGCAAAGAAAGGTCTACAGAACCATGAGCCACAAAGGCATGAGGGTAGGAGCGTTGTACACTGACGACATCGCTCTGCACTCTGAAACGTCAACAGCAGGATGACTGATGAGGTCCAAACCCCATGGCAGAGACCAAGGAAAATGTCCTACTTGAGACCAAGAAGCACTTTGGCCTAGAGCTGAGAAAGCAGGGATGAGTGCAGTAAAGATGAGGTACTCCGGGGCTGTAATGAGTACAGGGCAAGGGTAGGAGAATAGTCCCTTACGTTGTACCATTATCTACGAAGCAAAATTACATCTTAGTGTACAGACGGCAGAGAAGCCACCATTATTGAAAAGTACGGTTTCTATTCCCTAAAGAAAACAAGTTCAATACCACCGGAGGATGACGTGACGTGAAAACCCTCCATAGGTAGTTATGGATGATTGGAGAAAACACTTTTAACACAAATGGCAAAAGCTGTCTCTTTAATAAATTCTTTGGTAATAAACAGATCTTTAGTGAACTTTATTTGCGGATTATTAACCAGTTCTGCTGATGTCTGTTCTGGTCCTGTGATCTCCCAGGCCAGGGCAAAATTTATTATCTAGGTTACAGCTCACAGAACACAGCTGAAACAATTTACCTTGCTTTAATGAAAAGCAATTACAATATGAAAACACATCTTTAGGTAGGAGATGGTCTGTATTGTTTATAAAGCTACTGCTGTGGATGTTGAGGCTGTTTTTGTCTTTAAAAAAAAAAAACAATCTAAAATTCAGATGTTCTTAAAAGAAAGGTGAAATAAAAACTCTTTGGACATCTTCCCAAGTCGAAATGTTCCTTTCTGTATTCATTTCTCCACAGATTCCTGAGATAAAGAAGAATGAAACAGTTACTGTCATGCTATCCTATAAAGACTCACAGTCATTTTAGCAAAGCAGAAAAGTGCTGTGAAGTGAGCTTTCCAGCTACTGCCAAAGCAAGTGCTAACAATTGTGACTAAATTAGGGAAGTTGGCTATGATAGATGAATTCATCATGTTGATGATATAGATACATATGGGAATAAATAGAAGTATAAAGAAAGTTTGAGATGAGAATTTAAGAATTACATGAAAGCCTTAAAAGAAACTAGTCTAGGGAAACATATATTATTTAATTATTTATTGAATTATATTCATTATTTAATTATATTAAATATTATATATTTATATAAAGACGATGAAATAAAGCTGGTATGGTGGTACAGCCTGTAATCCCAGAATTCAGTCTGAGACAGAAGTAACACCTATTATCCGGTAGAAAAGGATACTATTATTTGTATAAGTCCACATTTTCTTCTATTACTGTGTAAGCAAACGTGTAAACAGGTGTATTAACGCACATAGTATTAATGCACTCAGTCTTTCATGAACCTGAAAAATAAGGTTTACTATCCCAGCATACTGAATTTTACCTATTATTATCATTTAGAAGTAACTTACATTTTTTCTATGCCTGGGGACATTGTTTTCTATCCCGTTGCTATCATCTGATTTCCTGTGTCAAAAAAAAAAAAAAAGAAAGAAAGAAAGAAACACCAGATGCTCATTAAGTCAATGCAGTGTGTACTTCATAGCTGAATGTAAACTCTAAAATGTCAGTGCAGACTGAATTCATTCTTCTTAACGGTGTTCTACTCATCATGTTGATTTTCCTTATGCCATCGCTTAGGGTGGACCTGCTGCCACAGGCATCGGAACAAAGAGTTCCTTGCTCTACACAGAGGGGAAACCGATTCTGCCCAAGAAAGAGTAGGACCATCGGCATGTATGTAATGGTAGCTCACATTGCTCTGCAACATGGAAGATAACAATCAGGCGCTTTGTCAGTCTGTACAAGATGATGTCATAATTTGATGGCTGTTACATTAAATTAGAAGTAATTTATGGCCCCTTGCATCAGAACAAGATTACACGGATGAACTTTAGATTTTTTTTTAAAGATTTATTATTTATACAGCATTCTGACTGCACACCAGATCTTACTATAGATGGTTGTGAGCTACCATGTGGTTGCTGGGAATTGAACTCAGGCCCTTTGGAAGAACAGCAAGTGTTCTTAAACTCTGAGCCATTTCTCTAGCCCCCAGCTTTAGATTCTTAAGCATGACTACATGAGAAAACCACTGAGCACAGTGAACACCAGCGGAAATATTGTGAGCAGGCCTATGTTCATGGAAGCTGTTATTATCAACCTGGAAAATCAGCCACCAAACCATGTATGTCACAACTGGAGTGTGGAAGTCCTGGATTGTGGGACAATGAATCAAATTAGTTTAGTCTTCATTGAGTTCCTTGAAATAAATCACTACTTTTGATATTACATATTTATTGTTTAAATCTTTTTTTAACCAAGAGATTACAAAGGACCAGGAATACCAAAACACATAAATGGTGTAGGTCAAATATATCAAACATGTAACATATGAAAATAACTTTTGTGAAAATCAGTGGCCTATGATTCTATGCGGATTACTTTGGGGAGGATTCACATTTTCTGTTACAGATCTCTTTAGAGTAGAACATGAGGATAGCTGGGAATAAAATGGTCATGTATCTGCTTCGGTTTAGGGATAGTAGAGTTCTTCTGTTCCTCCAAACTAGAGAATAAAGGTGTCCTGAATCCTAGGCCAGCGATTTTCAATGTGACAGAATCAGAACTACTGGAGGATGTCTGTAGAAAATGCAGATGCCTAGTGCCAACCTAAGTGATTCTGACCTGGGGGATCTAGTGAGGTCTGAACATTGTGTTCCTTTTTCTTTTTCCTTCGTGTGGATATTTTGCCTGCCTATGCGTGTGTACCACTTGTGTGCATATGCCTCTGGAAGGCAGACAGAACACCAAATCTGGAACTGTTGAGGTGCCATGTGGGTACCAAAAATTGAGCCCACGTCCTCTGAAAGAGCATCAAATGCTCTTAGCCACTAACACATCTCTCTAGCCTCAAGAACATTGTATTTTTATGCTTTCATCAGTGATCAAAAACAAAACCAAGGTAAAGAATCATTTAAACAAATCATTTACACTTACTCATTTCTGGTTACTTTGGACAAAAGTCTGCCCTACCCACTTACACAGATAAATTATTACTAATTCAACAAATGTATTGTAGTTGTAGCCTGATGAACACTTAGCAGAAACGGAAGCAAAGAGCAGTAAGTGATGGAGGGGTAATCTCTGGGTACCAAACTTCGTCATAACATGGATGTCTACAGAAAACAGCAGGCACATTACCATATTCTTATGTTTTTTTCCTCGTTTCTAAATGCAAAATTTTCACATCTATCTGCATGCCATCCAAGTGAAAAAAAATTAATAAAAGTAATACTTACAGCTGTTCAATTTGTTCAAATTCTTTCCCGTCATCTGTAAAACAGAAAAGATATGACAATTAAGCATGCAGTGCTATTTTTACATGTTCAACTGGATCTGCTCCCTAACAACACGTTTCCATGGAAAGGAGAGACATCCCACCTTCGGTGACTCTGCCTGCCTCGGCTCCCTCTCAGCAGGATGCCTGCCAGACTTCACCTGAATCTCTGGTCAGGAACTGTTCGGAACCCTAAGTTTGTTTGTTTGTTTGTTTGTTTGTTTTTCAAAGTTATGATACCATTAAAAAATTTTAAAACTATATGAAAATCAGAAAAAAAAAAAGTAATATGTGACAATTTTTATCAAGGTTTTCTCATCCAATAGCAGATAACAGATAGGGGCTAAAAACAGCACTTGACTTGTTTGGGAAACTAGAATACTTGATAAAATACTTCAAAAAGATCTATCTATTTTTTTATGCATTATTCCACCTGCACGTGTGCTTGCATACAAGAGGGCACAAGATCTCATTATAGATGGTTGTGAGTCACCATGTGGCTTCTAGGAATTGAACTCAAGACTATTAGAAGAACAGCCAGTGCTTGTAACCTCTGAGCCATCTCTCTAGCCCAATAAAATAATTTTTGAACGGACATGAAGACACAGCTTCATTATAAAGCACTTGCTGCAGGTGAATGAGGCCTGACGATAAATTCCCAGAGCCCACATAAGAAGTCAGGCATGGTAGGACACACTTGTAATGCCAGGCAGGGAGATGGGAAAGAGGATCCATGAAGCTCAGTGGCTGGTCAATCAAGCCTAATGGGTGAGTACCAAGTCAATGAAAGGCCATTATGTCAGAATGAAGTAGACAGAATTCCTGAGCTGACACTCAAGTTTATCCTCTGACCTCCAAATACACACACACACACACACACACACACACACACACACGTGAGCTCCTACACACACAAGCAGTGTTCCAGACACACATGATTAAAATAAATTACTTTAATGAAAAACAAAATCTTTGATACCATTCATATTAAGCAATCAGGTTTTTGTTGTTGTTATGTGTTGTTTCTAAATACCAGTGTCAACACAAACTCCATAAGAAGAAAGATAATTTTAACAAGAAAATTCTTCAAGATGAAACTAAGTCCATCAATCCAGGCTCCTAGACCGTCACGACTATTGTTACAAATATAAATACTCAATATGAAAAATTGTCACAAAGCATTTTTTGGTTAGTGGGTATGCATGTGTGTATTTGTGTATGTGCACATCTATCTATATGTGTGAATGCAGGAATGCGTGAGCAGTGCCTAGGTACGAAGGTCACAGCGTGACCTCAGGTGCCTGTCGGTCTGTGACTTCTACGTGGACGGGATCTTTCTGCTCTTCTCTTCTGTGTATGTCAGACTGGTTGGCCTGAAAACTCTCAGGGATCTCCTGCCTTTACCTCCCTCCTCTATAGAACATCCCTTAATCTACTTAGCAGCAATGATGGTTAAGATGCTCATGCTAAGCATCTGTTTTTGTTTTTTCATGAGCTCTGGAGATTTCAATTCAAGTTCCTGTTCAACCAATGCTTTTACCTCTTGAGCCATCTCCCCCACAACTTGTAAATGAGGACAACATGGTAAGCCATAACACCTATCATAGTTAAGCGATGATGTAATACAGAAAGTAAGAAATCTTACCTGGGTCGTTCTTTTTCTTCTGTGTGTACACTTCACAAAGCAGAATGATGGCCACTAGAAGAATGACTTCAGCAATTATCGCAAGAAATGGCTTGAGGGGCACCATGAAGCTCAGCACAACCAGCTCAATGTGTTCTTCGCTCTCACCTAACGGGAAGGTGGCACGGCACCAGTAGGATCCTCTATCTTCCTCCAAAAGATGCTTTATCTTGAGCTTTGTTTGGTTAGCATAGGAATCATTTATAACATACTTATCATCCATGTGAACATCAATAGGAACCTAATGCAACGAGACATTAAAATCCTTACATAATGCAAAAGAGATATGCGTCCCGTGTGACTGAATTCTGAGCAAGGCTGAAAGACAGAGCCAGGAAATCCACTTACTGGAAAGGGGCATATTAAAATTTATGAGACATTATATAAAACAGAGCTTTAAAGGTATATCAGGAGGTTGGTATTACAGTAGTAAGCAAGGGGGAAAAAGTGTACTCAGCTGGAGAGACTTAGCCCTGAATGTCTGAACCTACAAATATATGTGCAGGTCATCAGTAGTGGCAGAACATTTCCAGTCATCTTGGTTTTTCATTCTAATGGATGACTAGCTCTACCCAACAAAAACAGACACAACAGGGGCCAATATTCCTCTAAAGATTTTTACTGTGGTTGTTCCTCTGAAGATAGATCACCAACCTAATAACAGAGTTTCCTACACTGAAATTGCAGTTGAAATCTTCAATGCTTCTTAGCTAACGCATGGTAGACCTCCAATGGCCAGCTTTCTGTGTTCCTCTCATGTCCCAGTTTCTTTCTCTCCCAGATAGACTGGCTTCTGAGATCTGCTGGGTTTGCCTCGGGCCATTTCACAAAGCCGTACTTGGAAGCTGTTATACTTAATCTATTTAAATTAAATTTTATTCTCAGGACATTTGGTGCTTTTACAGCTCTATCACTCAACTGAGAGGTTCAATAAATGCTAATCTGCATACAAATGTTCTCAGAGGTTATCCAAGGAAAATTTATCTGCAAATGTATTTGCCACAAGGGGGAAAAAAAAAAAAAAAAAGACCATGGCCCATCTCTTTGTACAGAAGCAGCAGGACAAAACCAAGGTATGAATCAAAGACAATAAATCAAAGGACTGAATCTTAAGGAACTTCAGAGCTAATTCTGAAACGGATGATGACTTATATTTTTGGAATGATATTTGACCTAAAGTGTTGACTTGTTACCCCTTCTCTGCCCCTCTGTCACATCATGACCAGGATCACTGCCGAATTAAGGAATAATTCATGCAGCAGGCCTAGAAAAGCAGAAGGATGCAGAAAAGGGCACTCTATGATTTTTAACAGAAGCTGACTTGGGCTCCAGTTTGTCTGATATCACACAGGCATGAACTTATTAGGCTACATTTTCCAAATACTACAACTGATATTTCTTTCCACAATTTGTTTCAAAATCATTTGCAGATACTTGTCCTAATCATCAACATGATAAAAAGCAGAGGATTTGTTGCTTAAGATGACTCCTGTATGATCAAGGGCTATTTTTATGAAATATTAAAGCAATTTTATCCCAGACATGCTCTTTCCCAGCCCCTTTCTCCAGAGCATCACCTTTGTTTCAGAGGGAATTTGATACTTCAGTGGAAATTTTGTTTTGTTTCATGTGTTCCATAGAGAATTACCACTATTACCACCATGTCTCAAGTTTTAAGCCTTTGAGACTATCTGGGAGAGGACAGAGAAAATTTATCCATTGGATACTCTTGTCACAGCAGCTTCACAAAGTCTTAGATACATAAGCTTTGAAAAGCAGTATTCCACTCCTTTCCAAATGTCTCAGATGCCCCAAAGGGACAATGGTACAACAAAGACTAAGTCTTGAGTTTTTGTACCAAATTTCCATTTTTTTTTTCTCAAATGGTGAACATTACATGCATCCTGTGACAGATATTTCAGGAGATGAGTTGGAAAAGAAGCCTGGGATTTTGTTTTCTGTTTCCCTAGTTACTGGCAAGAAATGAAGCTTCTGTGATAAAATTATTTCCAACCTAGTAAACCAAAAATGCTTTCGTTTTGCCTCATAATAGAGTCTGGGATACCATCAAAGTCCCCCTAAATGGCTTAATAACACAATGATTACCCTGCTCCTGCCTCTCACAGGTCTGGGATTATAGGTGTATGTCTCTACACCAGGCAAAATTTCTCTCTTTTTATTTTCAATTTTGTTTTGCAGCATAGCCTTGCTCCGAGGCCTTGTCCAGTCTGCTTTTACTTGGCACCATTTCTTTGATCCAGACTAAACATATGAGAATCCTCCTGTCTCGGCTTCCTTGGTACGCACAACCATGCCCACCCTGTAAATGATTTCTGATTCTCTTTCAAAGAATTTAAATAACTCACAAAACCAATAAAAGTGATAGTTATAATAATAATTTTATAACACAATGACCAAGATAGCAATTATTATTAATTATTAGCTAATAAGACACTAAGAACCTCACACATAATGTAATACGCTAAGAATATCCAATGACAACTGCATTGATCACTGTGCTTTCTTGGTCATTGCAAGTTCTAACAGAAGTGCTAGTTTTCCTAAGACTTTTGAGTCAGCTATAATCTTATTTCTGAACCAGAAGGTGTCTTGTTGTCTTCTTCAAATGAGAGGAAGAAAAAAAAAAAGATATGTAGTGTTTATACACGTGTCTACATGTCTGTGGATATATAAGCACATTTATGTGTCATGTATGTGGAGGCCACAGATAAGCATCAAGTAAGTGCCTTCTTCAGCTGCTCTCCACTTTGTTTCTGAGGCAGCCTCTCAGTGAATGTGACAGCAAGCAAGGACTGTCCTAACTCCCCTACCCTCATGCTTAGGGTACAGGTATACCCTGCTTTTTACCTGAGTATAGGAGATTCAAATGTTGGTCATCCTGCTTAAAGTGCAAACACTGCAACCAACTGAACTGTCTTCCTGGCCCCAGGAAATATGATCTTCTTTTTTTAATCGTTTATTTAATTTTATTCTCTGTGCATTGGTAAGAAAGTGTCAGAATCCATGCAAATGGAGTCACAGAGAGTTGTGAGCTGCCACGTGGGTGCTGGGAATTGAACCTGGGTCTTTCGGAAGAGCAGAGAGTGCTCTTAACCACAAAGCCATCTTCCAGCCCAGGAAATACGATCTTACCCGAACACTTCCATTATTCGTATACCAGGTCCAGTTTAAAGGAAGACCACTCTGCGTCTCACACTTCAGCACCGTAGAATCCCCGACGTAAGTGATCAATGGCTTGTTCTTCCCGTGAACTTTTGGTACTAAGAAGAATAAAATAAAAATGTATACTACTGAAACTGTTTAAGGAAAAGAAATGGCCTAAATCTAAGGACATTTTCCCACTTCATTTTCTTACTAATGCGTCACTTTCTGCATGCAGTTGTTTGTACATAAAAGGAAACAAGCTTGCAGCCATTAAGACACGTACCAGCAGCAGTGGCAGTAGTAGCTCCAATAGAACTGTCTGCAATGTACAACTTGAAGAAAAGCCTCCAGTGATTAAAACTATAACCATTCCAAGTTTGCAACAAACTAATATATTTCACTCGAGCTAAAAAAGGAGCTTCCTGTTTTCAAGGCTGTTCTTTCTTCCCACCAACTGTGATGCTGGAACACTTCTTCCAAAGATTTACCCTTAACAGACATGAGTCAGAAGTCAACAGTTTCATGCTAGAAAATATTCTTAATTGATACAGATTTGTAAAACGCCAGAGTTGGAGAAAGTGATAACACAAAGGAACAGAGAAAAGAAAGAAAAAAAAAAAGGCAAAGGGAAGCTAGGATATGTCTCCATGCCGAGGGCTTGTCTCCCATGCACAAAGCTCTGCATTGTGTGCCAGCACTGTCAAGGGAAAACTTAAAGAAAAGCATAGAAAACAAATGAGATTTAGAAACATATTTACACTACTACGTCAAAAGGACATACACTAACATTAATCATGGCACTTTTTTAAGTCAAGAAACTTTGAAGCATATATAATCAGTAACAATATTAATGAACACAAAAATCAGAAAAAAGTAAAATTTAAAGAAGTGAAAAGTATGCTTAAAGAAATGTCAACATATGAACACAAGTACTCCATAAATAGCCCCAAGATGAAATTTGGCCCTCATTCTCACAGTGACTGTGTAGATGGTGCATCAAAGACACCTTTGATTTTCATTTTTTCTAGTTTTACTAATTTTAAGGTTTTTTTTTTTAATTTTCTGTTTTCTGTTTATTAGGATAATCAGCAAGGAAAAAATAGACAAAACTACAATGTCTAAATGTCATAACACGGAGTAAAAATTTACAGGTGATTTTAACTTCCAGTGCAAAGATTAGAAAGACTTTTAACTGTTACAACTCAGTGTCTAGGGTAAATATGCTGTCCATGGGCCCTTGAATTTTCTCCTGACATACTGAGCACGGGCATGATACATGAGTTGTAAAGGTTGATGCCATGAGACAAGCTCTACACCATTCAGGCTACTCAGCCAAGTGTGTATAAGACTAAACATGCTACGGTTCAGCAGAAATGGTGACAATTTAAACCAGGATGCTGAGCTAGGTCCTTATCAATGAGAAGAAACATAACTGGTTAAAAAAGACCCAAACCATTCTTCTCCTAGACCTATTCAGTATACATGAAAGGATACACGAAATAATCATTTTACACATTATCAAGTTTAAGAGTGAAGAGGAAATACTGCACTCACAACACATATTTTATAATGATGAAATACAAAAAAAAAAAAAAAAAGACAGCAATTTAATAAAACCAAAAACTAAAAGTCTAAATGAACTTAAATGAAAAGGGGTAAGGCAAGAGACAGCTCTCACATGGGTGGACCCAAACAGGCTACTCCTATATGCTTAGCCCAACATCCTTGGTCTTATAGCTCCTGCCTCAGAACTCATTTATACATCCAGATGGCTCCAAAATGGAGGAAACTGACTGCCGTGTGAAAACTAGAAGCAATTCCTAGATTCAAGGGAAAGAACAGACCATCTGCCTTGATACTAATATAACGAGGATATTTCAAGTTATTGAGGAAAAGGAAATGATTAAATGTCAAAACGTTAAAGGCTCAATTAGGCGGAATCCCAAAACATTTTATTCTGATTTGTTTTTCTTATGACGAGGTCAATTTCTTCATCAAAGACTGATGGTGGGAGCTGCCTAAGATTGGGCTGGTCAGTGGACGGAGGTCTCTATTAGACTGCACAAATATTCCTTTCTTTCATTAGGCACTCCTGTTCCTAGCCACAGAGAGCGGGACTGCGAATACTTGCTTATAATATTTGCTGGTATCATGGCACACACTGGCTGGTCTGTCTCCTAGAACTAGGAAGTTATTTATTTCTCCTAGAGAAATAAATAACACCATTCCTGTTGACTATTTTGTTTTTTTATTCCCCCCCCCCCCCACACCTCAGAATAATCACCTTTCTTCTCCACCGTCATAAGCCCTAAGCAGAGTTTGGGCCGTAGAGAACAGATTAGTCTACTTTGACTACAGTTAGTAAGCCCTAGCTGCCCACACTATCAAGTCTTCCCAAGATTTGCTACAATACAAGCAAGGCTTGTATTCCTGGCTAGCCAACAATCACGTGACCTGGCTTTGTTTTTCATGCATATTTCATTATCTGTGGTTGTGTCATGACGAGGGGAGTCTGGGAAGCAAAAGCATTCCTCGATATTCCTCGATATCCTGATGAAGCACCAGGATATCCTCAATATCCAGCTGCACCCCACATTCTCAACAGGCTCCTTCACAAAATATGCAGAACTTGGCGAGGCTCTGCAGCTGATGTGATGTATGGTGCTGCCATGTTTGAGGGCAGATGGTTCACTCTGGTAAGTAGAAGCTCACCATTATTTGGGAAGAGATGTAAGTCGGGGATCAGTAGAAGAAGCACGGATCAGAACTTGCCTAGCCCCACCAGACCTAAAATGAAGTTGAGCCACACTTCTCAAGGTGCCTGTGGAGAAGCAGAACGGGTACTTTTGAAAGCCTATTTCAGTGCCTCCTTGTGCCAGGTTCAGCTCACCATTAGGTTACAGCTGCTCTAACGGGCAGATTCAAGCACCAGCCAGGGCCACAGTTTCTGCTATCCCGGGCTCTTTATCTTCTAGGCACGTTCTTTCTCAAACTCGGCACATGTCTCAGGTAGGGGTTTCCACTGCTGTGATAAACCATGGTGACCAAAAGCAAACCAGGGAAGAAAGGGTTTATTTCGGCTCACAGCTCTTGGATCACACTCCATCACTAAAGGAGGTAAGGACAGGTACTCAAAGCAGGACCCTCGTACTACTTAGAGGTAGAAGCGGTGGCCGAAGCCACGGAAGAGTGCTGCTTCCTGGCTTGCTCCCCACGGCTTTGTCAGCCTGTGCTCTCGCAGCACCCAGGATCAAAAGCCCATTGTTGACACCACCAAAGTGAACTGGGCCCTTCCACACCAGCCAACCATCAAGAAAATGCACCAGAGGCCAATCTGATAGGGGCATTTTCTCAATTGAGGTTCCTTCTTCCAAAATGACGCTAGCTTTTGTCAAATCAACATAAAACTAACCAGCACAGCATGCTTCTTTCTCAAGATTAGGTCACGCTGTTAGCAGGAAATTATGTGTTGAAACATGACCAAAAGACTGATGCCTCCGTAAACTAAAAATCAAAAGTGGAGAAGTAAATGTTTGGTTGGGGGGGGGGGGGAGGAGAAACTTTATTGTCTAGTAAAGCTCTGAGAAGGAGATGTTCCAGACATATGACAGGTAGTGAGAAGGGGCTTTCGAAGAAACTGGGTATTCTGTAAGGGCTGGGTAAGGCATCATGACTGTGCTCTTAACCCGATCCATCTGAACACTAGGGTAAGGCTGCAGGCCACATATAGGACATTGGGTGACAATGCGGAGGCAGAAAAGCCGAACCCCTGAAACATAATCCCTTTCTCTCATTCTCCTCTCTGTCTTGACTGTCTCCTAGGCTAACATTTTGCAGATCTAGCAGAGAGTTAGAGCCTGGTTAAACAAGAAGCCTTTCCTAAAGCTCTGTACTTGCACATACACAGCCTAGAACAGTGGCTGAAGGTAATGCTCATTTCAAGGGCAATTAGATATTAGATATTATATGAAGTAAAGGCAGCTAAGACAATTATGGTGGCTCTATTAGGCTACTTCCCACACCTTCACATCAGGAAAGTTCTCAGGAGAGACAGATGATGACTGATCTAGAGCTCAATACATTCTATATTAACAAATTCTCACCATTAAATTTTTGCATTTTCTATTATGTTATATTTTTAAATTTATTTATTTGTAATTATTTGTAAATTATTTATTTATTTACTTAAATATTTATTTGTCTGGACATATGGATCCTCTGGAACTAGAGTTACAGACAATTGTGAGCTGCCACGTGGGTGCCAGGAATTGAACCTTTGGAAGAACAGGCAGTGCTTTTTTTTTTTTTTTTTTTTTTTTTTAATTTTATTTTTTCTTTTTAGTTACATTTTCTTAACTCCGTGTCCCAGCTGTATCCCGCTCCCTCATTCCCTCCCCAACCCCACACTCCCTCCCTGGTCTCCTCCCTGCCCCTTTCCAAGTCCCCTGATAGGGGAGGACCTCCTCCCCTTTCATCTGTCCCTGTTTTATCAGGTATCTTCAGGGCTGGCTGCAAAGTCCTCCTCTGTGGCCTAACAGACTGCTCCTCCCCTGGGGGGAGGTGTCAAACAGCCTGCCCTTGAGATCCTGTTAGAAATAGTACGTGTCCCCCTTACTTTGGAAAACTACTTGGTTACTGAGCTACCACAGGCCACATCCGAGCAGAAGTTCTAGGTTATATCCATAGATGGTCCTTGGTTGAGTTTCAGTCTCAGAAAAGACCCTGTGCCCAGATATATTTGGTCCTTGTAGAGCTCCTATCCTTTCCATATCATACTAACTTCCCTTCTTTCATATGATTCCCTGCACTCTGCCGAGGGTTTGGTTATGAGTCTTAGTGTCTGCTTTGAAACACTGCTAGGTAGAGTCTTTCAGATGCCTTTTGTGGTAGACTCCTGTCATAAGTTCAAGGCACATCCCATTTGTCTTTCTAAATGAGGATTAATCACCTTCGCCTGTGTCCACTTTCTTGATTATCTTCTTTAGGTGTGTAGATTTCATTATGTTTATCATGTCTTGTAGGTCTATATAAGCGAGTATATACCAAGTTTGTCTTTCTCCTTCTGGGATACTTCACTCAGAATGATCTTTTCTAGATCCCACCACTTGCCTGCAAATTTCATGATTTCCTCCTTTTTGATTGCTGAGTAGTATTCCATTGTGTAAAAATACCACAATTTCTGTATCCATTCCTCCGTTGATGGACATCTGGGTTGTTTCCAAGTTCTGGCTATTACAAATAAAGCTGCTACGAACATGGTTGAACAAATGTCCTTGTTGTGTACTTGAGCAAATTTTGGGTATATACCTAGGAGTGGTATAGCTGGGTCTTGAGGTAGCACTACTCCTAGTTGTCTGAGAAAGCGCCAGATTGACTTCCAGAGTGGTTGAACCAGTTTACATTCCCACCAGCAATGGAGGAGGGTTCCCTTTTCTCCACAACCTCTCCAGCATGTGCTATCACTTGAGTTTTTCATCTTGGCCATTCTGATGGGTGTAAGGTGAAATCTCAGGGTCGTTTTGATTTGCATTTCCCTAATGGCTAATGAGGTTGAGCATTTCTTTAAGTGTTTCTCTGCCATTCGATGTTCCTCTTTCGAGAATTCTCTGTTTAGCTCTGTTCCCCATTTTTTAAGTGGATTACTTGGTTTGTTGCTTTTCTGCTTCTTTAGTTCTTTATATATACTTGATATTAGCCCTCTGTCAGATAAAGGGTTGGTGAAGATTCTTTCCCAATCTGTAGGCTGTCTATTTGTTTTGATGACAGTGTCTTTTGCTTTACAGAAGCTTTTCAGTTTCATGAGGTCCCATTTATTGATTGTTGCTCTTAGAGCCTGTGCTGTTGGTGTTCTGTTCAGGAAGTTGTCTCCTGTGCCAATGAGTTCTAGGCTGTTTCCCACTTTTTTTTCCAGCTGATGTAGAGTATCTGGTTTTATGTTGAGGTCCTTGATCCACTTGGACTTTAGTTTTGTGCAGGGTGATAAATATGGGTCTATTTTCATTTTTCCAGGCAGTGCTTTTAACCACTGAGCCATCTCTCTAGCCCCACTTGTTTTTGATTTTTGAGACAAGGTTTCTCTGTGTAGCTTTGGCTGTCCTAGAGCTCACTCTGTTGACCAGGCTGGCCTCAAACTCTGAACCCCAAGTGCTGGGATTAAAGGTATACACCACAACTACCCAGCTTATTATGAGACTTTTGATATTAAGCAATATTAGAAGTTTTTTTTTTTCTCTCTGATAACATTTGACCCACCATTAATTAACACTCATGTCACCATTTGTGGGTGGCACATGATTCCCCGCATGTTAGCAGCTGAACTTCTACTCTCCTGCTCTGGCTGTCATCTAGGCAGGCACAATGAGTCAGCAGAAAATAATGTTTCCATCATACTCATCAGTAACATGTCACAATGACACATCAGTCAGCTCCCCTAAAAGCAGAAGCAGGGTAAATTGTTCCAAAGGCTTATGCTCAGAAGCTGGGCTTGACTCATGCAGTTTATGGCAAAAGTAAAATAAAATGGAGAAAAAAGAAAATCTCACTCAATTGACATCAGAGGATGAAACTAGCTTTTTAATCCGTATTCATTTGTAATAGTGATAAACAAAGATCTTTCTCCCTAGGAAGAACAATAAGCAAGCAGTATAAATGATATTTATAAAAATATACACTATTACATAAGCTTAACAGACCTAATAAAGTAATAATTATAAAATAAATTGTGGGACAAATGCCTTTGAATTCTACTCAAAATTATTTCTCCAAGCAATAATCAATTTTAAATGTAACTACAGAGGATTACTTTTAGCAAGGATTCTCTAGAAGAACCCAAATTATTAATTTTGTAAATATCTTCAGGACATAGTACATCCTTAAAAGTTACATTAATGCTAAGTGGGCATTAAAAACAAATGAGTTGAATTAAACTGCCTCAAGCAAATTTTAAAAGTAAATATGCAACAGATTTTTGCAGCCCTGAAAAATGATTAAAACTTGTGATGAAGGTGAGCAAGCGTGGCGGCACATGCCTGTCTTCTGCTTTTATACTGTAAATGTTCCACTTTCCCTCATTTTTGACCTAACTCTGCATTTGGACCTCAGCTGGAGGCAAAGTTTAGTACCCTTTGTGATAAGAACCATGAAGAAACTATAAACACGGGACACATACCTCACCATAACGAAAACAACATATACCCGAGTCCTTTATTATTCTAAAGCCTCTCAGTATTGGGAAACGGAAAATGCATCTGCACTAAAAATCAGGTGAAACAAAGGTGTCTATTAAGTACAGAAATGGAAGACAGTAGAAGAAACAAGAGAAGAAAAAGACACAAAGGAGACACAAAGTTGGTGGGGGGTGGACGTAATAGACCGTGTAGACTCCACTAGAAAACTTAGATCTGCTCAATACCTTGAACAAAAGAGCAGATACAAAAGCCAACATACAAAATTAGTAGCTTTTCACATGCCAATAACAAATCCCTACAACAGCCTCACTCACAACAGCCTTAAAAAAACAAGAAACAAAAACCCAGAAGTAACCTAAGGAGGTACAAAACCTTTCTTCACACTGAAAAGCGGTAGACGCTGCCAGGAAATGAAAGAACAGCCTAGGTGATGGGAGATGACCATCATGGACCAGCAGAATTAAAGTTGGGAAAGTAGCTTCATGAGCAAAATAGTCTACAGACTCAACACAATGATTATCGCATTTCCAACGTCATTCTTCACAAAACTAGAAAAGACAACCCTAAAATACATTAGTGGACGTGTCTACGTTTTTGTTCTTTGTTCACTGGAATGAAGAGAAAAGGTGGGCTGGGGTAGGAAGGACGTAGGCAGGTGGAGGGAATAGGAAGAAAAAAATGAAAGAAAGAATAAAAGAGAAGGGGAATAGGAGAAAGGCAAAATAGAAAAAAGAAAAGGAAAGAAATGAAGGAAGGAAGGGAAGCAGGAAAGTACACCATAACTGTTGTTGTACAAGTTACATCAGGCAACAGAGGAAAGAAGCTGAACAGAAAGCACATGTAATGTTTTCCAAGTATGACACTAGTTTCTGCAACTGGAAAGGCCAAAGTGAATTATTTCAAGGATGCATTATAATTTCCGAGTTGCAATAATTAAAACAAAACAAAACAAAACAAAACAAAAAACTAAACTAAACTAAACAGAAGTCTGCAGTCTGAGTACACAGGGGACTTTCGAGGGACATGGGAGTGGACTGGACCAATCAGAAATCAAACAGAGACGAAGCAGACCATTCTGCTATGGATTTGCACAACATCCATGTTATCAGGCTTCAGAACTGTTAGAGAAAACATAACAGACTAGATCACTGGCAAATTAGTGTGACACAAACAAAGCCTTAAGCAACTGCTATGACAACAGACTCCATTTACCAAAAACCAGCAAACTGTTGTTTACTAATCTAACCACAAAATGTTGGATTTCCTTGAAGGTAATACCAAAACTTAAATCTCTTAACCTGGGAATGCAGGAACTCAGAACCTAATCTAGATGACTGTTCTCAAATCTTGAAGTTTAGAGGGATAAATTAATAAATAAATTTAAGACATATACAGGATTTATGAAAATCTTGGCAGCTGGCCTTTTGAACTAAAGTCTGTATTTTAAACTAAGAGAAAAAAAAAAAAAAACAAAAACAAAAAAACCGATGGTAAAAATAAGGGGTGAATAGGGAAAGTCAAAACCATGGTCAAGGGACTTGGGACCAATGAAAAGCAAATGATTTTCTTGCAGCTAATCTACATTTATTACTATAATAATTACCTAAAACCCTGGGGACATGAGAAACTAAGAACATAGTTCTGAATTTATAAATACTGACCTTTGATATTAAATGTTCCTCTGTGTCCCTTTTTTCCAAAGAAACAAGAATAATTTCCCAACTGGTTGCTATTAAAAATGATGAACCTAGAGATAATTAAGAGTTATTAATACAAGCTTATTTCTCAAAAATATTTAATAAAAATGAAGACAGCCATTGATCAAAATTTTAAAACTAAAATAACTTTTGTAAACATGAAAAGTAGACTATTAGCAGAATATTCAAATGACTGCAAAGGGAATAAACTATTTAAAGATAGGTACAAAGGTAGTTAACAGACTGTGGCTGGCAGTGTATACCTTATTATGCACATACCTGTACTGACTGTACAAGGTCTTTCCCATTTTAGTTGTATTGAAGACATCAGTATTCTCAAGGAGCTCATCACCTTTTTTCCAAGACACATTCACTGAATTCAAATTCTCAGTCGTTGTGAACTGACATGTGAGTTCCAGGTCAGAAGGCCTTTCCAATGTGATATTTTTTTCTACTGGTACTGTGGACTGTTCTGCTCATCACAGAAGAACAAGGAATTATTTTAAATGTTACATTTGTAGGTAAACTCAACATATACAAATATATCTATTTACCTTTTAAAAATAACCTGTAAACAAACCATTTAAATAACCAGCAGTGGCCTACAGTCTAACAGATACTTAATGCCCTTCATTCAATTGAAGAATGGCTCTTCTGTAATACAGATCTGGTTCTCTTCCCTACTTTCCTTTACAGGCAAAGCTTAAGAAAAGTTTCCTTGCAACTTTAACAGAATCACAAAAGCCTGCGTCTTTCATATCTGTCTCCTTTAATTATTGATAGCTAAATGACAGACGAAAGAGCTACTGAGAATACTCCAAATGCTAGGACACACACTGGCACGGTCAGATCGAAGAACTGATTTAACTGCTCAGTAGGCACATAGCCTTGGCAGTTACAGCCATGTTTGAAAAATTGAACTAACGTTATATTATCTTCTGTCCCTCTCCATCTCCATAAAACCATGGAGAACTGTTTTGACTATCCTGGGTCTTTTGAGTTTCCATATAAAATTTAGGATATTTTTTTTCAGTTTTTGTGAATAACTGAGTTAGAATTTTAATGGGAATTACGATAATTTTGTAGATTGCTTTTGATAGGATGGCCATTTTCACAGTATTCACCCTACTAAACCATGAATGTGGAACTATTTTCTGGCATCTTCTTCAATTTCTTTTTTCAGTGCCTTGTACAAAATTTTCATTGTACAAGTTGTTCACTTCCTTGGTTAGATTTATTCCAAGATATTTTAGGTTAATGTTAATGATATTGTTTCCCCAAGATTTTTCTCAGTGGGTTTAATCATCAATATACAGAAAGACTACAGATTTTTTGTTTTAATTTTGTATCCTGCTACACTGCTGAATGTGTTAATCAAGTGTAGTTTTCTGGCAGAGGCTGTAAGGCCCTTTATGTCTGAGAATGATATGATTTGCAAATAAAGATACTCTGACTTCTTCCTTTCTTTTCTGTATCTATCTCTTATCTTTTACTTGGCATCAAGTACTGTTGAACAGAAGCGGGGGGAGTGGATGTCCTTGTTTTATTCTTGATTTAGGTAGAAATGATTTTTCTTTGTTTTTCTGTTTAGGAGGATGTTGGTCTGTGTTAGAAATGGGCTATTCTATTGGAGTTGTTGGCCAGTGAGATCACATAGACCCTCAAATATGACATCCTATTACCAGTGTTCTTTGTCCAGAACTTGACAGTAAAACCCTCTTGTTAAAGACATCAGATATTTGAGTCATGGAATGTGAAAAAAAAAAATCAAGCTGCAATTGACCTGTAAGCTTCACCTTTACTGGCCAGCTTTCATGATGCTGAAGATGTTGTGCAAGCTACTGGAGGATGAAAGAAACCAATGTGCTCTAGCTGTGGAAGCTGCTAGCTAAATCAATGACTGGCCTAGCAAGATATACCAACTAGTACAAGAGTGGCACAAATATCATGGGAGTAACCATGACAAGATTTAAGGACCACTCCTCAAAATGAGGCCTGTACCTGCTATCATTATCAAGGTTCAAGAACCTGTGACTAGGCAAGTTACAGGCTTTGCCAATGGAAAAGAGCATTCAACTGGTTATACTTATGGTGATGTGAACGATAAATACCCCCCATAGTCTCAGGGATTTAGATATTTGGTCTCCAGTTGGTAGTGCTGTTTAGGCAGGCGTAGCCTTGCCAGAGTAAATACGTTACCAAGGGTGAGCTTTGACAATATATCTGGTAATATAAACTTTATCCTTAATCCCTTTCTATTTCTGTTTTCTGACTACGAATAAGTGAGCAAATTCATTCAAACATATTTTTCTATTACGATGTTCTTCCTGACGGATCCAGAAACAATGGAGGCAGAGAAACCTCTCAAAACTGAGGCAAAATAACTCCTTCCTCTTTCAAGTTCTTGCTCCAATATATTTATCACAGAAAGAAAACTGATATACTAATGAAAAATATGGACATACAAATATACACACATATACTCTTGAAGTGGTCTAGAATACAACAATAAAATAGAAACCTTATTTTGAGCAAACACTATTTGAGTTCCTGAAATTGTTTAACTAAACAGTGAGCCTCCCCAAAACACTGAGAATGAATTGATTGTAGAAAGTCCTCTCCCCAGGGAAACAGATCAGCATGCCTTACATCATGCCTGAGCCAAAATGGCCACAAAACTATCACATGGCCTATGTTTCTCCTACAGGTGATTTATCCTTACAAAAGGTCATTCTTCCTTTTCCATAAATGGCCTTTCTCTCCCTCTCCTTCTAGACTCAAAAATGTTAAAACACATAAGTGTAGAGAAAATTATGTTAAGTAAAATGTCAAGCACAAGAATTTAAATGCAAATTTAAACTGAAACAGCCTATTTGTGTGAGATTTTAAAAAGTTGATTGTCTATAAGAACAGAGTAGAATATTTTCCTAATTTGCTTTCTGTGTTGTTCTGATAAAGCTTTCTGACCAAAAGCAACTTAGAAGAGAAAGGGTTTGTTGGGCTTATGATTACATTCCACATCAAGGGAAGCCAAAGCAGGAACCACCAGGCAGGAACAGAAGCAAAGACCAAGGAGGAATGCTGTTTGCTGGCATGCACCCCCAGCTTGCTCGGCTTATTTTGCTAGGAAACCTGGTAGCACCTTCCCATGGGTAACAACACCCGTATCAATGATCAATGAAGAGAATTTTCCACAGATGTTCCACACGCCAACTCAAAGGAGCCAGTTCCTCAGCCCAGTTTCCCTCTCTCTGGTGACTCTAGTTTGTGTCAAGTTGACAACAAACAACAACAACAACAATAATAATAATAATAATAATAATAATAATAATAGCACAAATAGTGTTGTCAGATGCTGAAAAGGGTGGGTAAAAGGAGAGGGACAAGAACAATCAACAGAGCCAAAATATAATAAAAATGGACAGAACTCCAGTAAGCACATACCTTAAGACATTTAAGTACATTTAAAACCTTCACAAAGTGCTTTAAGTAGTACAAGGCCCAGAGCTTGCAAATGGGAAAGTGTAGCTTGTGAACTGTTTTGTAAGAAGACTCTAGAAGTATTTGCTATTTAACTGCAAAATTGCTGAACTGAATTTATGCCCCTCCCTGGTACTGAAAGGCCTTAACAGCCAAATTATGTAGGGTGAAGACTAAGTGAGTAAAACTGAAAGAATTCTTGTATTCCTGCGTATCTGCTGAGAGCCACCTACATACCAGAATTACAGTAGGAACCAGTAATGAGAAAGTATTTAAAGGTCAACTATCTTTAGTCTTGAGATTATTTTTTTTCCTACACATTTTCCTCACATTTAGCCCAGGGTACTCTTAAAATTGAGCTCTCTCCGTAAACGTCTACATTAGACAATTTCTCCAAAAATTAGCTGTTCTGTTTTTTGTTTTTTCCTATATCCCCATTTCAATACAGTGCATTTTGTCAGCTTAACCCACGATATCTAACAGAAAATGTTCTTTCTTTACATTAAAAATGGCCTAGTGCCAGCTAGATGGCTCCAGTAAGCCTGACTTCCCAAGCTCTTCTACCCCCAGCACATATGTATGGTAGATGGGACAGACTCCCACATATTGTCCTCTAACCTCCACAGGCTATGTACCCACCTTCGTTCCCACGTTCAGTAAACTTTAACATACGCCAGGCACACCAAGTCCTTTAGTATTCACACTTTGGGGGATTTTGCTTTCTGGCCCCTTCACATCTCAATTTGGCACTCCTGTGCTAAACTCAATGGTTTAAAAACCATTAAAACACTTTATTTGAAAAACAAAAGTTCGACTCAAAACTTCATTTTTGGTCATTGACCCAAAACTCTACATGTTCTCTGAGTATCCAAACCTAGATATCCAAAGGAACCTTAAGCCCATAAGTCTGTCTTATGGTGGTCCAATAGCTCCCCTTCCCTTAGGCCTGACTCAAATGTGGTAATATTATGTTATTACCTCTGAAATATATTCTACCTCTGAAATAGCTACCAAATTTGCTTCAGTTTCTCCAACCTTCTTCCCCACAAGCCTTAGTTATCTTTCACCAGGGATTTCCTCACTTCTCTTGAAAAAGTAAAAAAAGCAAAAAAAAAACATGACTATACCAAAGCTCTGTCTCTAATAGCAGGTGCCAGTTTATCTGGCTGCCCCGGTGTGATGGTAAACTCAGAGGGTGAACCTAAGAGAATCAGTAATCATGGGGAGACAAAGCCTTGCCTGTTTGTGGTTGAGCTCCGAGATGCTTCACGGCTGTGAGTGTACATGCTACAGTTGTACAGGCTGAAGTGTAAGCCTGAATAAAAAGGAGAGAGCGAACTGAGCCCAGCTACTCTCTGACCACAGGTGCAATGTGAAGAGCTGCTCAGCCTCCTACCACCTCGTCTTCTTCACCAGGAGGAACTATGTGCTCAAAGCTAATAAAGCAAAATAAATTCTGCTTCCTTGCTTTTGTCTGAGATTTTGTTGTAGAAAACAAAAAAAATTAACTGTGCAATTGATTAAACACCTTTCATTTTTGAAGCAAAGGATCTTTGTAATGGATACCAGTTGTTGTTTTTTGGCATGTATGTGTTGCTGGAAATCCAATCCAGGTCCTTGTACATCTTAGTCTGCTAGGCAAAGGTTACCACGAACTACATCCTGAGCACACTTCCCCCCCACCCCCATTTCCTTGTCTCCTGTCCTGATTTATCAAAATGGGCTGATACACAGGAAGTCTACGGAAGGCACAAAAGTTTCAGTAGAGCAGTGCTCAGTAAGCACTTTCTCACCGTCTAGGTTCAGAATGTAGTAATGAAAGCCCAAGGACAGTGCTAGGACAAGGGCATCACAAAAACAGCATCATTTCCATCATCTAGTCTTCATGGCAGTGTCTATGAGGGAAGCATGCATCCTACTTCACAGATGACCTACACAGGAGGCTCTCAAGATGCAGGCAGCGCTGAACTTCAAATGTAAGTGTGGCTAGGC